ATATGGGCTTTTGTATCAGTGATTTTTTTCCTTTTTAGCATCTTCATTCATTGCGTGTTGTCTGTGGCAGGTTTAATGCGCGATGATACAATCTATGAGGATTCGGATGTGAAAGAATCTCTGAAGAGGCTTCCAGAGGACCAGTACAACGATAGGATGTTCAGGATCAAGAGGGCAATGGATCTCTCCATGAAGCAGCAGATCCTCCCCAAAGAACAGTGGACAAAATATGAAGAGGTTCATTAAACTAATTTAAATCTGTGTTTAATGTAATGTAAAGGCATACTAATATACTGAATTGTTCCCCCACCTTACTGGTATGTCGTTTTAAATGGTACATGTATAGTCAGTAATACTAATTTCATTACTTTTAACTACCTACTTAATCATTTTGCAGGCAGATGGAAAACATTAAATTCTCAGTGTAAAATATGCAACTGTTGTCATAACGTGAAATTCAAAAATACCACAATAAAATGTAGGTGTTGGAGGCTCTTCAGTCGTAATGTCTACCTACCTGGAGTCAGCAAAATTGTTTGAATCTCAAATGATTTTAATTGTGATACTGATCCTAATTTCACTTGTTAACCTTCATTTATTTATCTTCCTATCATTTCCCTTTTAGGATGTCCATTACCTGACACCCCATCTGGCTGAGGTGGTCCGTGAGAGGAAAGAAAAAGAGGAGTGGATGAAGAAGTAGATGCTTCCTGCTCGAAGCTCTTAATCCTTATCTTTGGTCGGTGCATAATTGTCTCCTGGTGTAGTATTTAAAATGAAATGTGATCTATATAAGACAGTACTCATTAAAGAAATGTACATTTTCAAAGATGTGGGAGTGTTGCATTTTTACCATATACAATGGATAGTAGGCTATTCGAAGATTTGATTTATTAGTATGACAAAATATAACAGTTACATTTGTATACTTACTAAATTTGGATCTGTCCCACAGTGCAAATATCTGTTTACCTTTACAAATCCAAAAATATACATTTAAACCAACGCATATACACACAAACATATACAACAGATATAGCTAAGAAAAATCCCAGGCAAACTTCAAGTATCTACTATACCCACTACTCACAGTAGCTACATCTACCTACACTACACATCTGTTTGCCTTGCACACTGAGAAACACTGGGAAAATTAATGATTCCCTGTTCAGATAATATCTCATAAGTGATCGTGGTCCTACATATGTGATAAAATATGATGTATTTTCACAGTGTTGGCCGTGAGTCATGCATAGAACAGTCCTAACATATTTTATATTTTAATATAGTTGTATAGTTGTTGTTTTTAAACACAGCCTTAAAAATAGGGATGGCATTTGTATGGATGCACTTTGCTCAACCTAGCCATTTAAAAACACGCTCAAACTGTGAAAGAGTCTCTATGATATCCAATCCAGTGATTTTGGCCGGTATCGTATCAGCACAATCCAACTTAAAAAGCAAGAAATTGTCTGCAGGGGTCATTCATAGTCATCAAAGCATGAACATTTCTGTAAGGTTTGAAGATTCAGGTCTGCTTTACACAAATGTCTCGACTCATGTAAAAGATCTGAGTTCATGACCCTTGGGTGTCAACCCATTTATTTGATCCTTCCACAGGCACCCCCACTAATTATCTTTCTGAGCCTCTGCTCTCCTGCTGTCCACGTCAGTTATGGTTCCTATGAAGTTCCCAATGACGCCATTAAAACTTTTTAACATAGACACTCCCAGCTCGTTGCTAGTTTCATTAATGTCTGGGTCATAGGCCCCCATGAGTGGGGTGCATATCTCCACATTCCCTCTACCAGCTCCTTCCAGGATCCCAATCAGCTGGCCCCTGACTTCCTGAAACAACTCCTTGTTGTACTGCAGTAGGTCTGAATCATCAAGAGGATAAGTGACATTCTCAGAGTAGCAGTCACGGGGAACTGGTACCTCTATGTACTTTAACTTAGGAAAGCCTGCAGATAGTATGGAGAATAACCTCAACAGGGCTGCAGACGTCAGAGGGTTTCCCAGGATTTTGAGCTCCTCCAGCCCCTGACAGCAAGCCAGAGTGTTAGTGAAGGCGTCCATGTGCTCGTCCTCAATGTTGCATTCTTCAAGGGTCAGGCTGGCCAGCGTGGCAGAGCAACGGCTGACCAGTTTGTGGAAACTGGTGGAGAAAGAGCCGAAGATGTCATGCCCGCTGATGTCCAGGCGGACCAGGGCCTCACTGTGGAGGCTGTTGGAAAGGTATGTCATGTCCAAACGGTTCAAGGAGCAGTTGGCCACTTCCAAGCACTGCAGTGGAGTGTTGAGAGGACTGGGTAAAGAAAATTAAAGGGGGAAAAAGGTCAGTGGTACCAGAACACAAATGTACATTTTTATATAGTGTATAGCAAATACATGTAGTTTGTATCCTCATGTAGGATTTGTAATTTAGTCTTGGTGCTGGAAATCCTTTAAGTCAGTTCAATATTCAGTCTTTTAAGTATTGTGACAAATACTTATATCCCCAAACTACCTTCCATGTTTATGTTTCTTTTTTGCAACATTTTCCTCCTTTTACTTCATAAAAACATGCTTAAACTCCCACACTGTGACCCCCTCTGTTTGTTTGGGATTTGTGCTCCTGTTTGTTCTATTTCCATTTGAAATGTGAAGTCTGTCCAGCAGGTTTCTGGCTAACCTGCCGCTGTGGCCAGGTGCAGCTGTCTGTCCTCACTCTGGCATCATATCAGCAATTTTAACAACAAAATACCTCCCATTGTTAAACAAGTACCTCAAAGCTAGAATGTGCTGTGACGCTGGTTGAAGGCGATTATTGTGAGCTATAATAAAGCTCTTGATGCTGCAGTGTGCACGTAAGTCTGCCAACAGAGCCATCCATCCCCTCATTCACATGATAATACAAACAAGGACCCCATGTTGTCTTCCTTTATCCCTCGCTCTGTCCATGTACTCACTTAAGCAGTCTGCGTAGGTGTCCCGTTAGAGTGGAGAAGCTAACATAGAGCTCAGTCAGGCTGCTCAGTTTTGCCAGCAGATTGCCGATGGTGGCCAGCAGATCCTCTTCATCAGCGCCCAACCTCCTAACATCCAACGCCCCAGCCGGCAGGGTCAAAGACTGTAATTTAGGGAATTCCACCCTGGACAGCAGCACCTCTAAGTGTACGGCCTCCAGGGGAACATTGTGGACCACCTCCAGCTTTGAGATGGACTCGGGTTCTGCTAGGCGAAGAACATAGAACAGCTGCTTGAGAGCAAGGGAATCAGCCCGAAAACCAACAAAACGAAGCTTCAATGGACAGTAGCGGAGGAGGAGGAAGGCCTGAGCCACCAGCTCATAGTTGCGGCCTGTGACGAAGCCGTTCAGACGGACATTAATAGATGTTTCGGAGGCAGATTGGGACCAGTCGATGGCTTGCATGTCCACCATGGTCTCATAGCACATTTGGGTCAGGATCTGGGTTCTTGCCCATCGGCCCAGGGTGGACTGGCAGGGGCAGGCCTGGTACTCGACATCCTTCAGGGCAGTCAGGTCCACCACATGCAAGTTCTTGGCATAGGTTTTTCTTGGAGGAGACAGGCACGTAATCCTTTAGAAAACAAGGGGAATGATCGGATAAAGTCTTTTGAAGTGACTCTTCTCGTCAGCCCATAACCAATTCTTGATCAAATGCAAAATTGTGCAAGAACTGAAAAAACACAAAATGCAACCAAAACATGAGTTTGACATGAATATGATGAGGTACACAAGGCCATTTAAATACCTTTAAGCCAGTTAAAATGGCCTTCAGACAAAGCCGGCAAGTACGGGCGGTGAGGTCCATCTGACAGTCGACTGTCTTTCCCAGGATCCTGTGTAGGTTGAGCTCATGAAGAGGCCATACCTTGACCAAATCATGCAGCAAGTCAGCCTGCTCATGGAGGTAGCAGGCCTTAAAGAGAAGTGGGTAGAGGTTAAAAGACACACAGTTCAGGTTTTCCACAGCACTTGGACCACTCTGGATGAAGCCCTCAGCAGCAATAAATCGCAGTGATTTCATGTTTATAGGTTTTATTCCTGTTTTTTTATACAAACAGATCTTTGAGTTTCCTGGTTGTTGACAAGAGCTGCAGTCAAACAGCTCTGCGCGTCAGTGTTTTGCCTCCTCTGTGGTTGCTGCTTTGTTGATTTCCTCTGTTGCTGTCTGTCTGCGTGTTGCGCACTTGTCTAGGACCAGGCTTGCTGTGGTGAGACGGGAGCAAGGCACAGGGAGGTCTCGTGGTAGGTAAGAGGGTTGAGGTTATTAATAGAAACAGCTGTCTCACGTCCTTCGTCGGGGACAGTGTCTATTTGCAACTTTTGCCAGAGAGATAAGTTGGAACAACATTAAAATGGCACTGGGTCACTATTCACACCTCTTTGAGAGACCAACACTACACACAATGAGCTGCAAGGACCAACGAAAACAATGTTGTGAGAGCCGAAAATAGAACAGCAATACAGAAACAATCCAATCTGTACCACAGAAACATCGGCAGTTTGCAGTGTTTAATGCATTTGAGAAGGTCATTTGTAATAAGGTGCTGTTATTTACTTTTTGATACATACATTATTCTCCAAACCTGCCTCAGTAAACTCTCTGAAATGACAACAACATGTCTCATTTTTGCAATGCATTATGGTCTACTGAGCTTTCTGCCAGAGGAGACATGGGTATTGCTGACTCTTTCACGGTGGATTTCTCCTGATATAAACATTAGTGCAGATGTAGAGTCTAAAAACAACCCGATGTTTACTGCGGTTTTAGACATCCGATACACATGAAGGTATCTCAGTGTGACATTATATTGTCTGTATGCTGCCAGTGATATAGAAAAATACAATTACAACAACATATTCAGGCCAGAAAACGACGCATGAAAGAAAGACAAGAAAAAAAACTTTATGTTATTGTAATTTGAATATAGGAAGCAAAGATGTGACCATTTCAAAATAAAACACATTTTTAAACTTAAGACACAGTATATTTCTAATTTTTTTTTAACATATTCAAACAGAAAAGACATTGTTAATATGCAATGGTGGTTAGTTTTCATGTTTTAGGTTAAAATGCAGCTATGTTTCTCTACAAAGTGTACATAAAAATTATTTTAAAGCTTAAGTGATGATCAACCTGAGAGGAACATGTCAATCTAAAGCTATAAAAGTAGCATTCAGTTAACATTGAACTGGCCTTCCTGGATCTAGAGTAGGTAATCTTTCAGGGTTTGTTTGTATTAGATAACAATTCCTTATAATGCAAATGAGGTGAAATCCAAAACTACCCATATATCAGTACACCACCTCTTCTCATCTGTCTCATATGTGCTTAAAATGCATTTATGAAGGGTGGTAGTGATGGTGGTGATGATGATGGTGCTCATGGTGGTGATGGTGCTCATGTCTCTGGGCTGGAGAGTCCAGGGTGCCACAGGAGGGCTGAAGGTGGGAAAAAAGTTCCTTATCTCCCCCTGGTGTGGGCCTAAGGTGTGAGGAAGCCTCTTGTGCCCTGGAGCGAAGCCTCTTGCTGTGAGTACGCTGTGCTGCAGGTTGACACTGGGAAGGAAGGCACCATGAAGCAGGGTGCTGGCCATGTAACCTACAGGACTTTCCCTCTCCTCCTTTCCTGTCTTTCCCCACTGACATGGCCTTATTTCTCAGGGAATGAGGGATAGAGAGGCCTCTGGGAGGCTCAGAAGAGCTGCAGTTGTCTCTGATTACCACAGGGTGGTGCTGAAGAGCAGAGTGATAATCCTGTTTTGGCTCCTGGGAGGGAGATTCTGGAAAAGAAAGGGAAGAAAAATGACTTTAATTTTGTATTTCCAGATGATAACAGTTCATGAAATGTCTATATACTGACAAGCATTAACAGCAACAGAGGACTTTCTATACCTGTATTGTCAAACTTGGAGGTATAGTTTTCAATGCCAGCTAGATCCAGGTAGTGGTTTCTGCGCTCTATGTTTTCATCCGCACAATAAAGTCTTCTCTCTGGTGTTCCTGCCTCCTGAGACGCACTCTGCTGCCTCTCTGCTGCCATATTCAGTAAGAGAGGGTTGTTATCACCACAGCAGTGATAGTATTTGGTGTTGAGTTGCACATTGAGACTGTCTTCAATGTATGTCTATGGTTCTTAAGCAACAATAAAAATGACCTTTTACCTATTTGTGAGGTCTTTTCTGCAGCAGCTGGACTTACAACTAGCTTTATCTTCAGGGGTGTAGAGCCACCGTAAGACAGCTTGACTGATGCCTCTAGAACCTCATACATGGAGTGTATCAGACTGCACATGTCCTGCAGAATACACACACATTCATATACACACAGGGTACAAGGCAAGCTACTTTAAACAGGACTTTATTTAAACAACATACTCTATGTGTGAATGAAACCTACCTCTTTGGTGACCTTCCCACTGTTGTCAAAGTTGTACAGTGTGAAGACCCACTCCTGCTGAGTGTCCTCATCGAGCACCACGTTACACTCTGTGACCTGTGTGTGCCCATATAGTCAAGAAAACAAGCTTAATGCTGCTGTAAAACTGCAGTTCTGTAGTTTATTGGGTAGAATTAAAGTTTACAGTAATTTATGTGGTGTATGAGTTGACCCAAACTGGAAAAACCTCAGTGTGTAATTATAAAAATGCACTGTTGATTAGGATCAGATGCGTGACTTTGCATGCGTGCCACAAACTTAAAAAAACACATCTCACCAGAATCAGTACTATTAATCATCCAGACACATCTCACCCATCTGGTACTTAAAGTTGTTGAGACATTAAAAAACATGTTGATATTGTACTCACACCAGCATGGCCGCTCCTCTTCCTTGTCTGTTTATTCACCTGGAAGTGGATGCTGTGCCCTCTTCCAGGTGTTGTCTTTGGTGGCAGAACCACTGAACAACACACAGAGCTGGACTGTTATATATCGTTACCCAGTAGACTCTTTAATAACTCTAATTATTGTGTTGACATGCTGTGCCTTTGTAATTAATTTATTCCTTGTCACAAGCTCTGTTTTCAATACATGTTTGGCAGCAGGGAAGAAACTAAAAGTGAACTGAAATCTGTGTATCCAAAGGTTGAAGCTTTCCCACACAAATACAAAACAGATGTGTTTCATTTTACTATTTCCTTTTCCTTGAAAGCAACAAGGTTTCAAAACTTTAATGCACACATTCTTTATAATACTAATAAAGCTCTTTATAATACATAGAAAGTGAACAATGTCAATTTGATGCATGTAATTCTCTACTAACCTTTAAGGTTGCAGTTTCGGTCTGACTTGTTTTCCCTCAATTCTACGTACAAGTTCTGTGAAACAAGTGAGAGAGTTGTAGATTAACAGAGAGCACACATGTAGGAGAAGGAGAGGGGAAGCACAGAGGAAGCAATTAAGTGATTTCCATGTCTGATGAGTGTGAGGATTATTTTCCAGATGTGAGAAAGGCTGAACAATCCTTGAACATCTGTGGTTTTTGTGTCAAAATCACAAAAGTTATTTCTAATGCATTCGATGAGTGGCCAGTGGCGAGTGTAAGGCAGCAACTGAGCGAAAGAAGGGGAAAAGATAAGAGGTCTGTGTGGGTTTGAACTAAGTACATTTACTCACTTACTGTACTACTCCAAATCCAAGGGACTTGGACTTTACTTGAGTATTTCCATTTTATGTAACTTTATACTTCTACTCAGTGGCAGACTGGAAAAAATAAAGAGGGCACCAACGCGCAGAAAGTTGTGATGCATTTATGGTCTAAAAGCTCATCAGGGTTAGGATTAGCTTTGTAAAGGGCACTTCATGTTTTATTTTATTTTTTACAACATGGGGGCATTTCAGCTAAATAAAACTATTTAAAACCCTCTTGGAGGGATTGGAAAATGCATGGTCATGTTTTTCTGAGCTCATGAAAAGTTAAAAAGACACAACAGTATATACAGTTGTTAAAATGAGCTAAACCATACATATCTACAGCATTAGCAATTAGGCAAAGGATCTGAGTATCTCCTCAAACCACAATAAAAGTATAAAACCATAAGATTCATATCCATTCCTGTCATTTAAAAAACATTTGATCGTACATAACCTCTCTTCTCTCAGGTCAGCACTGCAAAGCACGAGAGAAACGAAAGCACCAGCAAGACTTTTCTTATCTCTCAACACAACAATCCAGCATCTCGAACGCCTCACTAATGCGGGAAAGATAATCCGAGTGCACAACCTCACACACACGCAACACAACCGATCTCTCTCCACACCCTCTGCTCGCCACGCTCTGCCTGCTCTGAAGCTTTGATGCTGGGATTCATTTCCAGTGAAAGAAGGGTGGGAAGTTGAAGAGACGGTGGAGGTAGCAGGAAGGTGTGTGCCTGGAAGAATCTTCTGCTTTATTCTCTGTTGTACACCCTCATTATACATCCTGGTATCACAAAGTTTCAAGTGTTAGCAGGACAGTAGCCGCCTTTGTCTCACCAAGAATGTCCAACAGCTTTACTGATAACTTGATACCTGGGTAGGAAGTTTCACTGTAAGACATAAAGAAATGATGCTCTGATGGCTTCTGCACTGGAACTTATATCAGTGTTAACAAGCTGCAGTGACTTTGGTCTTTATGTGCAGAAACATATCAAAACCAAGCCCCATTTTTGTCTAATAGCGAGTGACTGTTAAGAGGTCCTCATTTTCAAAGTATCTATGAAAAGGTGTGTGAACTATGAGACAACCTTACAGAAAAACTTCACCTGTTAAAAGCTCAGAATAATTATAAATATATATAATAATATAATATAACAAGAAAACTACAAATTCTGGAGGGATTTTCAAAATAAAAGAGGGACATAATTGAATAAATTGGATTTCAAGGGTGGATTTTACCCAAATATAATCACAAAGACCAACCCTTTCAACACTTAAAGTAACGTGCATGAACATAATACAGAAGAACATTGGTACAAATGTTGTGAACTGGACTGAGGGGTGGATTAATGGTGCAAACAAAATAACAAGCGGAATAGTTTTCTTTGAGCTTGGAAGTCAAAGTAACCACTCCTACTCATCAATTATGTCAGACAATATGAGGTGGACGTGTGAAGAGATTAAATCCTTGCTCATGATGATGCTCTTGGATGTTACAATATTTGTATATTATATATTTATGAAAACACACACAATCTAGAGATCATAGCAAAGCAAATAGGTTTGTATTAAAAAAAAGTGATGTTGTTGACACCTGACCTTGAGTCACTGGTATTTGACAGGTATGTAAATAAAAAAAATTGCTTTTATTAAAAAATAAAAGTTATCTTAATGTCAGAAATGTTAAGGTGTAATTTTTCAAATGACTCTTCAAATGTAAAGTAATTGGGCAAAGACTTCCCATCAAAGATGCAAAAAGAGGGTTCATGTGAGAAAGCTGACAGAAAGAAATACAATGAGACCCCTTTGCAGTTTACAGTGGTGGTGTCATGGAGTGTCAAACTATAATAGGCTGGAAAATTGAAATCGCAGGAAGCTCTCTGCCATTAACAAGCACAGAAACTCCACCACAACCCCTTATACAACTTGGCAGTCTACATATTTTTTTTCCAAACTGCAGAACTTTCCAGAACTTCCATACAGCCCAGTGCAAATATATCCTCAACTTCCAACACTTTAAAAACCTCAAAACAACAAAAACTGGTGTCAACTCTCTAAATCTCATGACTTAGGACGCTAGAAGATCAAACAAGATGAAGAAAAGTGAAAACGTCATGTTGGTTGTTTATCACAAACTGAATTTACTGTTCCTACAAGCAGCCCTGTGATCTTTGGAAACACATAAACTGCTGAGATTTACTTTCGCCGCATAATCTGGTTACACATATTGAATCAGTGTGTTTAATGAAGAGGACAATTACTTTTCTCTCAAACAGCATCGGGGGCCCAAACGTGACTGGGTCATTAATGCCAATGGTCTACAACATGTGATGCCATTTACGCAGTCAAACACCCGCCCCTCTGCAGTACAGTCTGTCTGGCTGGAGAAGGAAAGCAGTACCAGATGTGGAGACTTTTTTTCAGTGCAGTTGGGTATAAAGACCTTGCTGTTTGGAGGGGGGGTGGCCGTGTTGCACTTCACAGACTTGGAAGTCTCTTTATAGAGATGGAGGAGGAAGGGCGGAAGAATAAATATACGACTGCCTCCAAGTACCTTTTATGTCTCTCTGGATGTGATGTGAGCAAATACTGTTTATGCCAAAACTGGCTTAACTGACATGAGACTGTTGGCACTGCAATAAACCAGTAGGGGGTTGCTGCTAATGCCTCTGTTTTTATTGCTTCACTATGGGAACAGAGTTAATATACAGCTCTCATACATTTAAGAGGACAGACTCAAATACATATGTGCTATTTATCATCAATATAAAGCCAAACCATTTTAATATAGCAAATCACATGTATATGACACCCTATATCTTTAATCTCGATTAAGATAATTCAAGAAAATCTCCCCCAAACTCTCTTTGGTGTTTAGTACATCTCTAGAGTCTAAATTAACTAAATTACTATCAATATTATCAATTAGAATCTGTGAAGAAAGCTGCAGATATTGTGCCAGCTTCCAGCCTGTCTGCTCATATATCAGTACCAGACCATTACAGTGTTAAAGGGAACCAAAATAAGTATCATAGGATCCTTGTTGTGTAATACCTGAAGTGGGTGGCCCCATGGTTTAGTTTTACCTGCGTCTGTATGTGATAGGCCATTATTAAATAATATAAAACATGAAAAATAATACAAATGAACTTTGTACCTCTGTCAGTTTGGTTTTGTGGATGTGGATCCGCTCCAGCTCCCTTTGACAGCTCAGCACATTAGAAGCCAAACTACCACCTGCAGAGCATAAAAGAATAAATGTATGAACACATGTACAAACACATTGTAGATTTAATGTTTGTACAGTGTCTGTGCTGTTACCTTCAGGACTCTGTCTACGTTTCGAAGCTGTCCAAATAAAGAGAGAAAGGCGAATAAGTTAGAAGCGATTCCATCTTTTCTAAAAAACTAAAGTTTGCGATGTATTAAAAGCAATCTCACCAAGTTTGGACTGGAATTTGCCCATAATCCTGTCTGTTCATTGGGTTAAGAAAAGTTCATAATGTCCAATCAACGAGGGGGAAAATCCATTTGACGTTTGTGAAACATCCATTTCCCAACAAGAGCACCGGGAAACTATCGCAGATATTCGCTCACTGGGGATTTCACAGACCAACTGAAGCTTGAAAGTTTGACTGAGATCCAAGAGCGCAGACGCAGAGCGAGAGGCTGCGCTGCTGCGCACTTCCGTCTTCGGAAACAATGAGAGAAAGCCTTTAAAGACTTTACCTTTAAAAACTGTTTGTGCTGGACATATGTAAAGTTTAGTTTTTTTATTAAGGTAATAATATTAATATTAATGATAATCATAATAAGTAACATATTAGTAATTTATGTTGCATTTTCGCATGCTTGACCAGTAGTAGGATGGAGACAAAGTCCACCAGACAACTGCAACATATTTCCCCGCATAAGACTGATGGCGCACTATTTTTGGCTCATATGAATTAGAATAGTGTGTGTCAGTACAATATTGGTGCTCATAATCTGCTGCATCAGATGAAAGTGATGTCTTGAATACCAGTCGTGTGTGTTTCCTACATCACAGACCCACCATGAGTCTGACACAGCTGCACTGGCACAAAGGAGACCACTGTAGAGCATAATCACACAACTCAGGTGTAAATCAGGTAAACATCAAGAGGATGCTGGAAGAACAAACACATCACACCTGCTGTACTGCGTGTTATTAACACTGGACACTTATTTACTGTTTATATCATTTTAACTTTGCTCACATTATCTTTTGTTTCCATAATTACACCATTTACAGGTAAATTCACAAAGGGATAACAGTGAATAAATGCTATTTTTAAACAATCACAGACAAAGGGCATGGTAGAAAAGAGCTTTTTTTGTTTATTACTAAATACAAAAGTATTCCAATGTTGCAGCTGTGTGCGTGTCTGAAACATAGTACACCTTCTTTTGTATCAAATTACAACCTGTCTTCAATCTGAAGTAATGGCTGCGGTTAACAACCATTTTTGTTTACCTTATATTACATAAATGTACATATACGTCTGTTTAAAAGCAACAGACTAAGTCCATATCACAGTCACGTTAACTGCTACCACTGACAGACTCTTTGACAGTGAGGGCTGGCGTGGGTCCTATGTGGGTCCAGATGTAGCCTTTTTCTGGTCGGATGGGGATGGTGGGGAACGGAGAGCTGCGTGACTTGAAATATTCAGAGGGGGCGTGGCACACAAACTCCAGGTACTCCATCTTTCTGGGCAGATCCTCCTCTGGACCTAATACAAAACAGGCAAACGCTTAACTTAAATAACCATAAATGGCGTAAAAATTGTAAAAAGAATCAAATAAATTTCTCATTGCTCACCAACGATGTACGTTCCAGGATCAAACTGGTCCTTTGGGCTGGCCTGCGTGGGGATTAACCAAGTCAGCGCAGCACTCTTTTCACAGTACTGGTCCTGCACGAAGCCTCGAATCTGAGCGTAGTACGGCTTCCCGTCTTCCTCATCCGTTACCTTGATGACATCTCCTGTCTGATAGTATACACCCTGCGGATACAAATATAAACACTGAGGATGAAGGTTTGGTGCTACCGTGCTGTAATTAAACCTGCAATTACAAGAAGAACTGCTGAAAACATGCTATTGAATAGAAACACACGATTAGTTTTGCTTGGTGGGGATTGACACCATACCTTATAAAACACAGATTCTGACGTGATGATCGTTGCAACAGATTCTGGTGCTTTGATTGGCTGAGGAAAGAGATCGCACACAGGGGTCAAACGCATTCGAGTCATATTGCAACATAAAAACAAGAGAAATAAATCAATTTTCTGATCACATCCATCTCTAACTTACATTTTTGAGTTTGAAAATGTGTCTTCTTCCTTTTCCTTTTGTCGACACCTTCTTCTCAGATGCAGGAGCTTTGTACTTGGTGCTCCTCAGTCGTGCAGACCTCCTGTGGATCTCCTGCTTGGACTAAAGGCAAAAGAGACACATAACATTCATCATTCACCTATAACAAAATGTAGGCCAACAACTCTTGAATATTGGATAATCGATTAGATAAAAGAAATGTCCATCATAATGTCTGAGGTGACGTCTTTCCAAGTGCTTGTTTCGTCTCAAAAATACAAAGACTGTCTATTTACGGCGATACAAAACAGAAAAAGGGAGCAAAGATGAAACAACTAGAATGTGTGTTTGTGTAACTTTGTCCAATAAACATAAAGTTGAGGTCAAAAAGAAAAGAGGAGCAGTTTTTTTGTACTTGTTGTAGCCCCAGAATTTACCTTGATCTTCAGTGACATTGTTAACACAGACAACAGTCTTCCTAAGGTGGTTAAAGACACAATTTAACACACACACACACACCTGCTTCCCCCCGCCGTTGCTGGGCTGAGTGCTGGAGGACATGGAGGGTCCTGATGCTCCGCCGCTGCTGCTCTTTCCTGTGCAGTTGTTGCACAGGATTTCTCCCAGGTTTCCTTTCTTCCACATCGACGAAGAGTTCGTCTTGCAAACAGCACAGCATGGTTTCAAACCCAGCGGCATCGTGAACTGGGCAGAAACACGAGCACAGCGCTCAGACAGAGACGACGGTCGCTCGTTCAGCTGCTGCTAATCACCAATAACACACTGGTGTGTCTCCTAGCGACCACGCAAACAGAGACACATCTATGTCCTTTCTACGAGAGGCCTTAAGACATTCAACTGGTTAGGATA